CTGGGGATTCGAACCCACCACCGTGGCTGGCGCCTTAGCCGGTTGAGCTATAGGCGCCGAGCCTAAATGGTTTGTTTTTAAGCACTAATTGGGAAGGTGGGGCATGAGTAGTGGGATACTTAAAAGGGCTCTGGACATGAGAGAGTCTTGAATTGTAAAAACTTTTCACTCTGTGGCTTGGCACCTGTAACTCAAACGTCTAGGGTGCCAGCCACATACACCAAGGGTGGAGGGTTCAACTCCAGGCTCGTACTGCCAAACAACAATGACAACTACAACCAAAAAATAGCCAGACATTGTGGTGGGCGCCTGTGGTCCCAGCTACTCAGGAGGCCGAGGCAACAGAATTGCTTAAGCCCAGGAGTTTGAGGTTGCTGTGAGCTGTGACACCATGGTTCTCTACCCAGGGCGACAGCTCAAGACTGTCTCAAAAAAAAAAAAAGAAAAGAAAAGAAAAAAATTTCACTCTGATCTTAGTCAAGTTACCTTCTTTGATCCTGTTTTCTCCTCTGTAAAATGGGAGTAATAATACCTCCCTAGAGTTGCTATCAGAATTAAATGAAGTAATGGAGGCTGGGCGTGGTGGCTTACACCTGTAATCCTAGCACTGTGAGAGGCTGAGGTGGGTTGATTGCCTGAGCTCACAGGTTTGAGACCAGCTTGAAGGAGAGCGAGACCCTGTCTCTAAAAGTAGCCGGGCATTGTGGCCAGCGCTTGTAGTCCAAGGTACTCTGGAGGCTGAAGTAAGAGAATCACTTGAGCCCAAGAGTTGGAGGTTGCTGTGAGCTGTGATGCCATGGCACTCTACTGATAATGACAAAGTGAGACTGTCTCCAAAAAATAAAAAAAACAAGGTAATGGATGCAAAAATGCTGAACATGATGCTGAGCACATAACAGGAACCACATAGATAGCTGCTGTTATTCTATAACAGTATCTGTTATGGCAGAGTTGGAGCCATTCTTACTCATTGAGCATTTGTAGGACAGAGTGGTTAGTAATGTATGTTGAATGAGTGGATACATTACAGAGAATAGGCTGCGGTTCATTCTCATTTACTGGCCTGTGTCAGAAGAAACAAACCGTTTACTTTAATGCTTTTTTGTTGCCCTGTTGATCCTAATGCCTACCTGGTGAGAGTGACATTGAGGTCTTCAATATCTGATGTTTAAAATAGGTTGTGCCAATTACAATTTATATTTCTTTGAGAGACAAGAATTAGAGGACTAATAACTATATTAATTTGGGCAAGAGATTGAGCTCTGCTTTCCAACTTTAAAACATTTTTTTCTAGTTAGAATTTAATATAAAAGAATGATTTTATGGTTTTCTGACTCTTACCTTCTTATTTTAAACTGTAGGTTATTCTGGAGAATCATTTGTCACTGTATGTTTACGCCTTCAGATACAAAACCAAAGTTCCTCTTAGGTTCTTTTTTTTTTCCTTTGAGGCAGAGTCTCACTATGTTACCTTGGTAGAGTGCTATGATGTCACAGCTCACAGCAACCTCAAACTCTTGGGCTTAAGCGATTCTCTTGCCTCAGCCTCTCAAATAGCTGGAACTACAGGCGCCTGCCACGATGTCTAGCTATTTATTGTTGTAGTTGTCATTGTTGTTTAGCTGGCTTGGGCTGCGTTTGAGATATAATTTGCATACCATACAATTGACCAGTTAAATAAAGTGTACAATTCAGTAGTTTTTTTTTTTTTTTTGAGACAGAGCCTCAAGCTGTCCCCCTGGGTAGAGTGCTGTGGCATTACAGCTCACAGCAACCTCCAACTCCTGGGCTCAAGCGAGTCTCCTGCCTCCGCCTCCCAAGTAGCTGGGACCACAGGTGCCCGCCACAACGCCCGGCTGTTTTTTGGTTGCAGCCGTCATTGTTGTTTGGCGGGTCCAGGCTGGGGATTCAAACCCGCCACCTTAGGTGTATGTGGCTGGTGCCTTAGCCGGTTGAGCTATAGGCGCGGAGCCAATTCAGTAGTTTTTAGTGTATTCACAATATGTGCAACCTTTACCACCATTAATTTTAGAGCATTTTTATAACCTCAAAAGGAGTTCTATACCCTTTAGCTGTTATCTCCTTTTGCCCCCTCCGCCTCACCCTGAACAACCACTACTCTACCTTCTGTCTCTAGAGTTTTCTGTTTGGACTTAATCTATGAATGGAATCATACATGTGGCCTTCTGTGACTGTCTTCTTTTACTTGCACAGTGTGTTATAGGCTTATCCATGTTGTAGAATGTGTCAGTACTGTGCCTTCTCTTACTATATGTTTTTAACTTAGGGACTTTATTTTGGTGGACAGTTCAGTTACTTTATAATTTTGTTTTGTTTTCTGGTCCTGAAAGACAAGTGTTTTTTGTTTTTATGTGTATGTATTTTTTTATTTTTAAACCATTATGGCTCTTCCAGATTGAGGTTTTTTTTTTTTTTTTTTTTTTAAATTTGAGACAGTCTCATTCTGTTGCTCTGGATAGAGTGCCATGGCATCATAGCTCACTGCAACCTCAAACTCTTGGGCTTAAGTGATTCTCTTGCCTCAGCCTCCTGAGTAGCTAGGACTGCAGGTGTGTGCCACCACGCCTGGCTCGTTTATTTTCTATTTTAGTAGTGATGGGGAGCTCAGTCTGCTTAGGCTGCTTTCGAACTCCTGAGGTCAAGCACCCCACCTGCCTTGGCCTCCTAGAGTCCAGGGATGACAGGTATGAGCCACTGTGCCTAGCCCAATTGGGATGTTTCTTTACTGTGTGTCTGGAAAAGTTTCTGAAGTCCACCTTAGGGTTAGACATTCCATATTAATACATAGCTTATCTAGAAGAGAAAGGGGGTAGGTAGTTTCCTTATGAAATTTAATTGAAAGTTCATAACAGATTATAAATGTTTTACTGGTTTGGTAAGAAGACAGAGACAGTGGGTATTTTTTAAAAATTTATTTATTTATTTATTTATTTTTGAGACAAAATCTCAAGCTGTCGCCCTGGGTAGAGTGCTGTGGCGTCACAGCTCACAGCAACCTTAAACTCTTGGGCTTAAGGAGTTGGAGGTTGCTGTGAGCTGTAAGACAAAATCTCAAGCTGTCGCCCTGGGTAGAGTGCTGTGGCATCACAGCTCACAGCAACCTCAAACTCTTGGGCTTAAGCAATTCTCTTGCCTCAGTCTCCCAAGTAGCTGTGACCACAGGCACCCACCACAATGCCCAGCTATTTTTTGTTGTTGTTGTTGCAGTTGTCATCGTTGTTTTACCTGGCCCAGGCCAGGTTTGAGCCCGCCAGCCTTGGTGTATGTGACCATTGCCCTACTCACTGAGCTCTGGGTGCTGCCCAGACAATGGATATTTCTGGAAGCTCAGACTAGGCCTTTGTTTTTGTTGTTTTTAGCCCTGCACCCCAATCTCAATGACAGGGAGTTCTTGACAGGGTTTGCTCTGAGAAAGTGGATTGGGGTGTTTTGAAGACCAACCGAAGGGCTTGAATGCAGAGTTGGGAAGACGTTCCTTCTGCTGCATGTGGTTGAATGGCTGTCTCCATTATTTCAGACAGTCTGCTCCTTGAAAATTTATTCCAATTTGCATTTTCCTTTCTTTCTGCAGGGATTAAAGCCTGTGGTTTCCACAGAGGCACCACCTATCATATTTGCCACACCAACCAAACTGACCTCCAATTCCACTGCATATGATTATGCTGGGAAAAACAAGGTTCCAGAGCTGCAGAAGTTTTTCCAGGTAAGGGAAGATACTCTAGAACAGAGAAGCCTGTGAAATAAAAAGGCTTTAAAAAATCCCTTTTGAAACTGAGTCTTTTTGGTTTTTTGAGGCAGGGTCTTGCTCTGTTGCCCTGGCTGGAGTACAGTAGCATCTTCATAGCTCACTGCAACCTCAAACTCTTGAGCTCAACTGATCCTCCTGCCTCAGCCTCCCAAGTAACTGGGACTACAGGCACATGCCACTATACCTCGCTAAATTTTTCTGTTTTTAATAGAGATGGGGTCTTGCTGTTGCCCAGGGTGGTCTCAAATTCCTGACCTCAAGTGATCTTCCTACGTGAACCTCCCAGAGTGCTGGAATTACAGACATGATCCGGCCTAAACGGAGTCGAAATCTAGTTATTACTTTTCAACCTCTTTCTTGTTCTTTCTTTTTGTTTTCTTTTTCTTTTTCTTTTTTTGAGACAGAGTTTTACTCTGTTGCCTCAAAATAGAGTGCTAAAGCCATTATCATAGCTCACAGCAACTTCATTGTCTTGGGCCCAAGAGATCCTCCTGCCTCAGCCTCCTGAACCTCCTGAGTAGCAGTGACTATAGGCACCTACCATGACACCTGGCTAGTTTTTCTATTTTTAGTAGAGATGGTCTTGCTCTTGCTCAGGCTGGCCTCTAATTCCTGAGCTCAAGCAATCCACTTGCCTAGGTCTCCCAGAGTGCTAGGATTACAGACATGAGCCACTGCACCCAGAACTCTTTCTTGTTTTTTATGCAGAATTCTCTTGATTTTACTTTGTGCTATAAACCAAGAGAACTTTATATATGTAGATACTGATAAAAGAGGAAAGGTGGTAATTTCCTTACCAGTATTTAAGGGTATGCACATTGCATATATAGCTCTTGATGATCCATGCCTGGGTAGGAGCAGTAGCATGTCAAATGACACTGAATAATCCAATATGTAACAAAGTGACTTTTTTTTCTAATTTTTTTTTTATATTAAAAATTCATTGTTGTTGGAAGTAGAGCAGGCCCTCTTGGGTTTGCTGACCAACAGAAGCCAGAATTGTAGTTTAAAATATGATTAATCTCCCTACAAATGATTGAGAAGCTAATGACTTGACCAATTCTCAGATGCCGCTGGATGGAAGTGCCTGCTTTAGCTATTGCCTTGGGTAGCTTCTCTCATGCTCCCCAACATATGTCCAAATTCAGATCTGTCTTGGGGATACAGAACTTTTGCTTTGATTAGTTTTTTTTTTTTTT